AACAATAGTATTAATTATTGATAGTATTAATGTAATAATTGTATCAGCAATGTCATCTTGGACCTTTCCTGTTTAATATAATAGTACATTAACAAATTCCGACGACTCGTTCAGTCGCAATTCGCGTTTGAAGTTTGGACCCAACCATCAGTAAGATCGTGGCCTTCATTTTTTTTTACCTACATTGCCAATTCACGAACTCCGATCTACAACTTTGATAAAGAATCCACCTGCAAAATTTTATTGTAATCGGACCATTCGTTTTCGAGATATCGTGCTAACGGACAGACAGGCGGATGAACAGACATTGCAAAATTATGAACTGGCTAGGACCACCTGAACTGTCAACAGTTTGCAAATTGGGCGTAAGATCGTTTGGTTGAGGATGGCGAATTTAAAAAAAAAACATCTTTTCGGGCGAGCACATTTCCTCCTCGATGGTTATGTTAACATTCGGTAGACTTTCCTTTCGGTAAAACTGTTTTTCGGTCAATTAATTATTCGACGTATTGTTCTTTCGGTATATTGCCGGCTATTTCGGTTTTCTGCAACCCATTTAATTAGTCGCAAATTAATTACACTTACCTAAAGGGTCGCGGTGGCAGTTCAGAATTCGGATTTCCAATTAACACCTATGCCTAAATGACCTCTGGTATCTATCACGGCGATGTGTGTTATCTCCGGCTGCACGCCGCAGTAACCGATAAGCGTGTCATTCTCGCTGCTAAAACCCGTTCTAATCCTGGTTTTACTTACTATAGGGAAACTAAAAATGCTGATTAGTTAATTAACGGTGCGGAAAGGTAATAATATTATTGCTCCCTCAGCTTCTTCGCAAAAGTTAGTGCAAGAACCAATGGAAACACCAGAAACTCCAAGAGTGCTTTCATTACTAACTGTATTACTCAAACTAAAAACAACCGTTCATTTGAGGTTTTTATCAAGGATCTTATTTTCACGTATTGCTTAACACTCTCGAGCCATTCACCCTTTATTACCACAAATTCTCTTTTAAAACCAGTTTTTGTTTCAGGTACGGAAACGATTATTATGTCATCTTTAACATTGATGTAATGTATTAACATTTTGCACAGTTCTTCTCTGCGACATGCTCCGGAAATACCCTTAATTAATACGGGTCTAGGAAAGTTTACCGAAAACAGTTTACCGAAAAACAATTCACCGAACTGGCAATATACCGAAAGAACAATACGTCGAATTTCAATTTACCGAAAAGCAGTTTTACCGAATCACACTTTACTTCCACATTAATTTACCGTTTAGGAGATAATTAGCTAATATTGTCCTAAGTCTTGGTAAGGTGTGAAGGAAAAGTTGTTAGAAACAATAGTATTAATTATTGATAGTATTAATGTAATAATTGTATCAGCAATGTCATCTTGGACCTTTCCTGTTTAATATAATAGTACATTAACAAATTCCGACGACTCGTTCAGTCGCAATTCGCGTTTGAAGTTTGGACCCAACCATCAGTAAGATCGTGGCCTTCATTTTTTTTTACCTACATTGCCAATTCACGAACTCCGATCTACAACTTTGATAAAGAATCCACCTGCAAAATTTTATTGTAATCGGACCATTCGTTTTCGAGATATCGTGCTAACGGACACACAGGCGGATGAACAGACATTGCAAAATTATGAACTGGCTAGGACCACCTGAACTGTCAACAGTTTGCAAATTGGGCGTAGATCGTTTGGTTGAGGATGGCGAATTTAAAAAAAAAACATCTTTCGGGGGACACATTTCCTCCTCGAAGGTTATGTTAACATTCGGTAGACTTTCCTTTCGGTAAAACTGTTTTCGGTCAATTAAAATTCGACGTATTGTTCTTTCGGTATATTGCCATTTCGGTAAACTGTTTTCGGTAAACTTTCTGGGAGCGAATTAATACTACCTGTGGTCCTTTAAAATGTATATAAAAATAGCGATTCATTACCTTCATTAGTGAATAAGTTGAATCAGGCGCATCTCTTAGGATTTTAAAACTTGTTCTTCGTCAAGAATTTTCGATTTCTTTGGCGTATGACGTTCTGCAGCTCTTTTCAGAAATGCTATTAGATTCGGGTACTTCGATATGTCTACATTCTGTTTAATGTAAAGGCATGACTTGACCATGCTGTATATTGATTCTCTTCAGCAGACATTTTTGTGTGAAACTACACAGAAAGATTACCCAAACCAGAAGTTTTAAAAAATAAATTGACAATTCAAATTTCTAGATTTCTACTTTATCGACATAGAGGACTTTATTTTTTCAAAAGAATTATAATGTCGCAAAAATCTCTCGAAAAGGATTTGAATTTATATAAATTCGATTTAACTAATCCTTGCAAAAAATAGCAATTTCTTAGAAAGTGATTATCATAGTTGCAGGTAATGGTTTTATTAATAGGTTTGTTTTTCGTCAGAGGTCACTGTTCTCTTGCGTTTTAAGTTCCAGGGCTTCTTAGGCTAAAAATCACAAACACAGTAATCAACACTGCTTTAATAAGTATCAAATTATACACACCAATGGTGTAGTGGTGGAATCTTCTAAATAAATAAATAAATAAATATATAATCTCAGTATTCTCCTCTGGAAGCTCTTCTATAAACAAAATGAAATAAAAACTACACTTACAAACTTTGAACTTACCTTGTGATACATAAAAAAATGCCTCAGCAGCTGACGCCCAAGGAATATCTGGGGAAGCCACACTCTCTAGTGCGTAAATGCATTTCCTGTCGATGCAAGACCCTTAATGCAAAACTGAGTATAATGGTTCCTCATACCACACTGATTGTAAGATAATAGTAACATTAGTAAGGAGTACTTGCGAAAGAAATTCAAATAAACCACCTTACAAGCAAACGTAGTACAGATAAAACCTATACTTACCTAATCAGTTATTTATTTATTTATTTAGTCTTACGGGAGAGATTTCCCTACAAAATGTATTGCTATATAGCAATACTACTCAAAGCAATATAAATCAACTTCCAGACTAAATGAGCACAAAATTTTAAATTAGCAAAATTAGCACAAAATTATAGTGAAAGAAAATTATGAAAATATCGATGTTGATACTATAGCGTGAAGTTTGAGTGTCATCAGAAAACGATGAATTACTCATTAATCTGATGAATACAAAATTTTAAATTGGCAGCACAAATTAGCACAAAGATGAGATACTTGGAACGTAATTCCTTAAGTCGACACTACAACTTCACGAACCCGATCTTTTAACACACTTAAAGCAACTTCATAATCATAACCATCAATGAAATTATCGGCATCCTTGATAGGCAAGATTTAATAATAATAATAATAATATTTTGCCATCATAATTCATAGAAAAAATAATGAACATCGGCATTGTCAATACATAAAACAGAAACATTAACTAATTATAGTAGTCAACTAATTTATACAATGACATAGAGATCAGGTATCGTTTGACAGCTTGTTTAAATTGAGTTTCAGGCACAATAGACGTTATTTCAGGTGGTAATGAAAAAGTTTTTATGCACGAATAGTATGGCCCTTTTTCAGTAAATTAAATTTGACTGGGCGTAATATTTTTCTGATTTACAATGGACACGAAATTGTTCCATAAATGCTTTGTACTCTGTAAAAGTACCACTAAAATTGGGTAGAGATTCGCGGCGCGGCATTAATGTTGAAAAGTAAATTGATCGAAAGTATCGATTACATACGTTTGGTTTGACCTCCGCATCGATTGGATTTTCCGGTTCAATTAAACAATTCGCTTGCGTTAAAGCTGCATAAAAAACATTTTCAGCTGCAGAAACGAAGGCATCGACATCGGCATCTTTTAATTCTGAAATTGTTGTCTTAAATTTTTTATTAAACAGTGAATTGTGGGTTCTGGAGGACGGCCATGAACGTCATAAATTGGACGGAACGCACGGAACGTTAGGCGAACGGAGCACTGATTTCGATAATCAATTTTAACCATTTCTACGCATTGTTGAAGCGTGTAGCGTTCCATGGTGAAATGACAGGGCTAAATATGTATTCATGCCAAATTTGACAGCTATCGCTTTAGCAAGATGGCCGCTATGCGCTGTCAAAGTTCGATTCATATGAGGTACAATCTTATTTTACGCGCACTGTTATTTTTCGAGGTTTCATTGCATTCCAGGAATTGATGATATCTTTGATCTGAAGTTCATCTACGATGTCCATTTCAAAATGTAAAAGCATTAACGCATTCAGCCTTTCATTTGACATTAGGGGAGGTAATGCGGTGTTGACATACCACAACCAATAGAAACAAAGGTACGGTTTTGTTGGTTAGCGACGCATAATAAACCTTTGTTTCTATTGGTCAATGATGGAATGATTGTATAGACCCAAGATGAGATTTTGAAAATATTCTACATCATTTTGTTTGCAGATTATAAATAAAAGTTCAAGCTCCGCATGTAAAGCGTAACAATCGGGTCTGTTATACGGAGGGAACAAGTTTAGTAAGTTCTCTACTGCTTCCTCTTTTAAATATCGAATATCACGTTGGGATGGTATATCACATACTATTAAATTTCCCCCTACTTCCATAATTATATTACAACATATTACAAATCAAAACCTTTATTTAAAACGCCAGATTACATTGTCGCGCGGACACATGGTGTAAACAAATGATTTCCGCGGTTTTCATTGAAATCGTAAGATGATCACAGTGGTAAACTCCGTAGTGTTATTGTGAAAAAATAAGCAGTCACAATGTTTAACAATGGCATAATTGTAAAACACATTTTTTCGTCTCAAAACATCGAAATGTTCTTTGTAAGACAACGAATTTTTTGTTAAATTTTTATTTAGAGGCGGTTTTCGTTTTTTACCTAATATAAGAACACAAAACTCTTAACCAGCATGAAATGATAATAATGCTTAAAATTAAAAAGCTCTTTAATTTTCTCAAACAAAAAAAAACGGAAAATGTGTAAATAAACGTCTTATTTGATTGAAGGAGGAAGTGACGGATTCGTTTACGACCAGTCTACTAACGTTGAATGTTGAAGCAGAGGACGATGGAAAATATCTCGTTTGTCGTGCAGACAATCCACGGTATCCCGGGGGATCTACTGAGGACCGGAGACAGATACATGTTGCATGTAAGTGTGCCTTATTACGCCACCTGTTTGGTTAGCTTAGCTCAGACATGTACACGGCCTAACGTTTATTGGCGTTTGAAAGGAATCCTCAACAATTTCGAGTTTCGGGAGGTTGAAATTGTTTTTTGTTTATTCGGCGTATTGAATAAATTAACTAACGACAACGATATCGTAGTTAGTTAATTCTGTAATTCATTTAATAAACTCGTCATGCACAAAACCCCAACTAAGAGCATCGTAACGTATACCTCCCTTAATCCAGTTAGCTGTGGTTGCAAAGTCCAGGACACAGACTGACCTAACATTTGTCACAAGATCCGGTTTAACCGCATAGGCTGAGCTACGGCCAAGGGTATCGTTCCTAAAATTTCAATTATTGTTTACTGCACGTCGGTTGTTTTAAGAAAGGTCCGACATGGTCCGACCAATTCCGTTTTATCTGTGTAAGGTTTGCGTATATTTATATTTTGATTGCGCTGCTCGTTTTAATATTATTCAAACACCCGTTCCCAGATTCTTGTAGAGCAAAAACGGGAAACTGAAAAAGATATTTAAAATTCAAACGTTGCACGAAAACCTGTAATTGCTGTAATTTAATATTGAGGGGTTTTATGTACAGTTCAGTTGATACCTTCTCAGTATCCCAATCGTTAGCCAAATTGTCTGTGATATTGAGATATATTGCTTGTATTTTGGAAGCATCTAAATTAATGTAACGTACACTGTGGCAATCATTTCCCGTAGGGCTTTTATGCGATTTTGGAGCCTTTAAAGGGAAACCGTATTCATTGTTAACAAAGTTATACATTATTTATAATTTCATTGATTGTTCAGAACAGAAAACTATATTTGGGAGCAAGGAAATATAGGAAAACCGAGTGTTTACGGGGTATCACATTTGCATAATTTACAACCTAATACATTTACATGAACGTATTTACGTAAAGGGGTGAATATTTTTGTTGCTTTGTTTAATGTATTTCTTGGTAGCGCAAACAATAATGTGCAAGTCAGGTCGAATTTCTATGTAAATGCCTCACATTGTCATCTAATAAGCTCTAGAAATGGTAGGATCACGTACTGGAAAACGTTCATTGCTTCGGGATTAGCTCTAACACCATCTTTACAAAGGTTTTGATGTTACTTTAACCGGGTGCAAAAGAAATGAAAGCCGCTGTCCGAATTTCCAAAGTGGATAAAAGAAAGGTCAATGTTTCAACATCTACTAGAAATAAAGCTGGTTAGATGTTAATCCTGACTTCTTTTTTGTCCGCTTGCGCTATATATTTTACTTTATAACAGTAATTTTGCGCTTAGAAATGGGCGAAAAAGCATATTTATTTAGAAAGTGATCCTACCCTTGCGTGATTTTCTTTTAACCTTGTCCTAAAGAGATACGAAACTGGTACAGCCTTAGTGATCGGAATACAAACTGCCGAATTTCTGTAGTCCCGTTTCTAAAACGAGAATCATCTTCAATTCCGTGCAGGTTTACTGAAAAAGAAAAAGCAAGAGCTTTGTTGAAGACATCGCGACGTTAGCATACCTACTTCTGCTTTTCCAGCTGTATTCGTACAAAATTTCATTTATAAATCTACGTAAACCATGTCGGTGACTCCTACGAAATAAATTTACGTTAATACAATCTGTAAGGGAATACTAATACTTATTAATTGGCGGTAATTGTTTCAGATCCTCCCAAGGTAGCGGTAAAGTCCGACACGGGGTTGACGTCTCCAGTTAAGGAAGGAGCTAATGTAGTATTTAAGTGCGAAACTGTGGCCCGTCCCGACCCACACGGTTATAATTGGTACCACGACGTAAGTACATTCAAATTGAATACGAAAATTCTTTTCATGCGATCTCTTTGTTGTACAAACGGAATTGAATTCGCTTTCCTTTGCTTAATTGCAAGAGTCTGGGTATTATTTGAATGCAATTCTGCAGAAAATGTGAATTTACAAGTTCTTCTTGGCAACTTTTCGAATTAGAGAGTAATAGCAGGTAATAAATCGATAATCAGGTTAAACACGTAATTCAATCATTTATAGCATGTGCACTGCATTCGTTCTAAGTTTACCGACCACGTGATCAATTTCTTGTACTTTTATCAAGTTACATACCAAGTTATACTGTTTCTCTTCTATCTATATACGACATTCCCAACAAAAGAATTGCTAGCTTATGCATCGAAATTAAGCCCCAATATACAGGGTGAGTTTTTTTTCATTTTTAGTATAGAGATCTCGTGACCATGACAGACACAAAGTTGCTTAAATGGACAAAGTTATGCAGGATGCTATGCTAATTAATTTTACCATTCAAACTTTCGTGTATCTCTACAAATAGCGAAGGTATGAACCAAAAACCGAATGCGCTGGCGTTCGCTTATTTCCAAAGATACCAAAAAATAATTTTAACTAACCACTAGCGGGCTTCAAGTAAATCACAACTTTCTTATTTCTTATGGACACCATATTGGATTATTATGTCACTCGATAGAGGGAAAAATTACAAAACCAGTGATACTGAACACTTGGTTATGGGTCTACGCCCTTTTACTAAAAATGAATTAGTCGCTGCGACAATATCAAGAATGGCTCTTTCTAATTGGGCACAAATAGATTAAAAGGACGTGAGAACTGGGGAAGGTTGTCGTGCAGGCATACTACCAGATGGAGGATTGTGGAATGCTGTCGAAGAGGAGGAAGATAAAAAGAAACTTGTTGGAGGCAGATCCAAGCCGATTTTATTGTTTGATCTCTCATTATTCGTTCACATTCGTTCAGCGAAAAATGCAAAGGAAGTTTGGGACGGTCGTTACAAAGCATTTGAAGATTCTGGATTAACTAGAAAAGTTGGTTTTCTGTGCAAGCTTGAGAATTGCCCATCGATGGAAGAAGTTGCAAAGGCAATCGAAGTAACTGCAACTAAGCTAAGCAATGTTGGTTTGTTAATGAACAATGGATTGGAACGTTAATGTTGACTTGTCTTCCAGATAAGTATCAACTAATGAATATGGACATGGAGAGTTTAGCTATAGAAATTACTAAAACTAAAAGTTTTTGGATGCAAAGCAGTTATTCATACTCCAAAGAAAAGGTGGCAACTGATATTGCTTCGGAATCTTCACCCCTTTACTTTTACTTGATTTAAACGACAGTGACCTTAATATAATTTTAAATGTAATAACAGCAATTTGGTGGTATAGCTTCATTTTAAGGGGTACTTGGAAAACTTCTCTGTATACGTTAACATATAACGTTTGGGCTTAGCACGAACTAGGCTATTCACTTTTATCACGACGAATTAAATTCTCTAGCTCACCAAGTAGTTCTATAACAACTTTACAACCATCAAGACTGACTGCCTTTTACCAAAAAAAATTGATCAATTAAGGCTGACTGCCAAACACCGAAAAGTCGCAACTTTTAAAGTTCGTTTCACCTTTTTAACAACTCTTGCTTTCTGCTTATCTTCAACTTAATTAGCTTTTACATACGATCATCTTATCGTAAGACCTGTACTCCTGAAATTCGAGTACTTGTACTCTGTACTCTTTTCTCACAATAACTGTAAACCGTTTTACCAGGGAACATTCAGACTAAATTAAGTTGTTAATATATAATAATAATAATACAGCGAATATCAAATAACGTTCAAATATGAACATTACGATTCCATACACAATGCTACTCTGCAAGCGATACAGGAAACATTACTTCTCTTTTGCCTTCCATTTAATGCACATTGTGTGCAACTTCATTTTTTGAGCATGAGGTAAATTAGGAATTGTTGCTGGACCTGGGTGCTTCCTGGTTGTGAACTGACCAATCTGTTGATCTGCCAGTGTAGTCGTAAATTGCAGATGACTTATTGGTTTTTTCTTGGGTTGAGTATTCTGAGAGTCTCTTTGTGTAAAATATAAGAATTTACTATTTCTAAACTATCCCCTCCCCTCCATGTGTATTTTACAATCTACAATTGATTGGGGACATTGAACAGTTTCCGGTTTGCACGAACAAAGTAAACAAATGTAATGAAGTAACGACCTTCTAAGCATAAGAAATACTAGGAATTTTCAACGTAAAAGTGCGATGGTAGCAAAGATAAAACCCTAAACGCATTCTGAATTCAAAACTGAATAAACTGAATACGTTGGCAGTGCACCCTGCATTAGAATATCATTAATCCTCACAATTCGGGGAGTAAACAATTTTTATTGTCTCCCCATTTCAATACATATTGCGTCGCGTTTTTTGGCCGACGTAATCCAATGAAAATTTAATGTATTTTACTAGTAGTCTCTAGGGAGTCAATTTATTGAGACTTGTTCTCTATTACGAATTTTCTAAGGTGTTGGCGGGCGCATTTTCAAAGCACATTTGCGAGCGTATATTGAGTTCAACAATGCTTTATATCGAAACTTTAAATGTTAATAAAAAAAGTTAGCTTTTATTTTTTTATTCGTTTACTCTCATTTACAGCTTTAATAAAACGAGGAAAATTTAGCTATGTTTGAGAGTAAATACCATTTATTTTATAGCATATGTTAAAATGACATTTTTAGGGTTTGAATAAGTAGGCTAAGTCGTTCTTTAACCGTGAGGATAGATAAAGTGATCACTTTAACCGCTAATATAGATAAAGTGAAACAGATGATTGTGCATTCAAATGACATCTGTCATACTTATTTAAAATGTCACGCGGAGTTCAGAACATATGACAATGCTTTTCTATGGAAACGACCGCGATGGCAGAACCTAAGCTTGCTAGTTTTGACGTCTAAATTTAATTCAGAATTGTCAGGAGCGTTACAATGGTTCCTTCACCGTAAGGATAGATAAAGTGATCACTTTAGCCGTAAGGGTAGATAAAGTGAAACAAATGATTGTGCATTCTAATGACATCTGTCATTCTTATTTTAAATGCACGATTTAAAATGACGTTCAGAACATATGACAATTCTGTTTCCATGGATACGATCGCCACGGCAGAACCTAAGCTTGCTATTTTTGTCTCTAATTAAATTCAGAACTGTCAGAAGCTTTGCAATGATTTATATTGCTTCTGCTATAAAATAAAGTTTTGTATTATGCACGACTATAAAGGGAAACTAACCATCTCGTGAAAGTTAATTAACATCTTTCACTCAATGATTAAAATATCCCTTTATCTTGTCTTGTATAAAAATTAATAAATAACTACTATATCGCTTCTGCTATAAAATAAAATTTTGCATTATACACGTCGATATACTATACTATACTATAAATATTACTTGTATAAGGAACGACGATTTTCGATGACATAATGGAAAGTGATTATAAACTATCGTAGTTTGTATAGTACATATTAACCAACAAGCTGCGTGTTCTAGTATAAAGACAAAATAATAACACGTGTCAATGTTCAAAAACGTACTCGAGGAGGCACGCAAACTGTATTCATACAGTAGTAACATGAGAAAATGTCGTTTTTTCGCATTTGACTTCGAATATCTCATTAACTATTGCTCCGACGGAAAAAAATGAGGAAAAATGAATTTGTTTAGAATCGAATTGTATATAGTGTCCAAAATAAGAGTGTCTATCATGGAGATCTCTAAAATCATAGAAGATAGGACGATGGTCACATTAGAGAAAACTTGCTCAATGCTTTAAAGAAAAACCAGAAAATTCCATTTACTTCCGAAGATATGCCAGAAAACCGAAATTTGCCAATTTTGGTTTTTATTTTTTTCTGATGTTATTTGGACAGATAGAAAAAAATAGAAACCACTTTTTGAACTCCACAAGACACCGTTGACAGATTTTCAATACAATGTTTCGTTTCGGAACTTTATTTTTTATATGGCCCGTAAAAAAGTACATACTTTATAGAGTAGCATTTTTGATTACGAATCCAACGATATACTTCACACACAACAAACAAAAGTTTGAAACTGTTGGTTTCAACAGGATGGTGCCACTGCGCACAACGCCTAATCGTGCAAGAATAGATATCGGGAAAAGTTTCTGTAAAATGAAAAAGTTATTCGATAGGTATTCTGGCACGATTAGAGCCTTGTGCGTGGTGCACCATCTTGTTGAAACCAACAAATTTTTATTTTTGTGTGTGACATATCGATGGATTCGTAATTAGTAATGCTAACTCAATACAGTATGTACTTTTTCTACGGGACCTATAAAAAACTCCCAATCTTGGGCTCTAGTATAAAAAAGAGGACAACGATATGAAGGGTTATGTAGACGCAGATTGGGGCAATTCCGTCGACGATCGAAAATCATATACCGGATTGGTGTTCATTCTATCAGGTGTAGCGGTGACATGAGCTTCAAAAAAGCAACGAACCATTGCAGGCCGAATATATTAGTCTCACCGACGCGACCCTACAAAAGAAGCCATACATCTAAATCAATTTCTCGAAGAATTAAATGCTAAATGCTAACTCCCGTAACTTTGTTCAACGATATTCAAGGTGCAACTAATCTGGCACGAAATCTCGTACAGCATGCGCGTTCCAAACACACCGATATTCATGTCACTATTCGAGAGGCTTTGGAAAACGGATGTTTATGAAAATTTGTACCAGGTGCTCAGGAATTTTGTTTTGAAAATGTGAAAACTGGTAACAATAACATACTAAAAAATTAGAACCAAACTCATTGACTACTGGTCTAGTAAGCGACTCTTTTTAAAGCGTAGAAAATTGGTTTTATGACCCGACTTTTTGTCTCACCGCGCCGCTAGTGGCACTATTTAAACCTAAAACTTATCTGATTTTTAAAGCTGCAATTCTCTAATTTGTAATGTTTTC